AATTGCCAATATACTAAAAATATAACAGCTAAGAAATCGAATTCTGTTGTTTGCTAAATTGTAGAAGGAAAATGGGAAGTGAATGATTAAATTTTTAGCAAGAATGGAACAAATGTCTGGTTTCCTTTGTTGGAAGGATATGTTTCCAACAAAATGAGCTCTGGAGAAGGAGAAAACGTGTGCTGCTGCTGTTGACATTGCATTGACACGGCAAATAACTTAACATTTAACGTGCCACATCATATTGTTATGATCTATGTAGGCTTAACTACTAACGGTTTCTGTCCGGTAATTGATCAAGATGGACAGATTTAAGTTGAGTGGCCATTGAGAAATGTTGTGAAGTATAGTGAATAAGCCTTGATATACTGCAAAATTCAATGACTATTGAAACAGTCAACCAAAAGTTCTCACTTAGGGATAACAAAAAAACCCGACAAACTCGATATCCGCGGGGCCCCGCCTCGAACGAGGCGGGAATAACCCCCTTAATCTGGTATTCGAGGTAGGGACATGGTGGAGAATTTTGCCCCGGGGTGGGGACGGGTAACGGGCGCCCCACCTCGTTAAATTTTTTTTTTTTATTTTTAATTTTTTTAGAACTCAATATTTTAAATGAAAAATTTCATTAATTCTAACAGAAAATAGTAACTAAAATTATTTGTCTAAATTTAATGAATATGGGCAATAAAAATAAATTATTAAAAAAAAAATTTAAACGGATAGTAAATGGGGCAAGGACCCCGTCCTGCCTCGCCTCACCTCAAGTTGCCATCCCTATTCTCGCAAAACTACTTTGAACCTATTCAACACTACCGCAATTTGTTAAGAAATTAAAAAAAGAACTTGGTCAACAATTGCAGCATGGAACTACTATCACGGACATTTGGAGTAATAAATTTTGCAAAGGAGAACGAAAAAAAAACCATATATTCACACGCCTCTCATAAAACTATTTTTGCTATATTTTCCTAATACTCTCAATCAATGGAAGATTTGGATTCTGACGATATTTCTTAAACACCGAATTAGTGACTCTGCATTGTTCGATGTCATAATATTGTAACGGCTCCCTTGAAGGTGTGACATGGCCCAAGTATGGAAACGTGTTTTGACTAAATAATCCCAAGCTTTAATATCAATTCTCTTAATTTTGTTCTTATAATTTTCAAACTCTTCTAAAGTATATGCCTCTGCTGCTTTCTTAAAAAGTAGGAAAATCTCGATTTTTCGAGTTACAGTCCTTAAGTTGTCTTTAATATGATAGATGAATGACCATGATGGATATTATGATAGGCAGTTTGAACTCCAATGATAATACTTGGATGTCAATCAGATATAACAACAAGATCTTCAGTGCCCTCCATTACTTATTTCAACTTCGTAAAAAACCAAGTCCATAATACATCATTCTCAGAATCAACTATACCCCAAGCAAGAGGATAAATCTGAATATTTGGGCCTTTATATTTCTCGATTGACGTTTCTCAATTTTTGAAATATTTGTCATTTTTTTTTGAATTTCCGCCACTTAATTGAATTGCTTTCATATTTAAAATGCCACATAAACAAAGATCATTTATTATTTTTGAAGCATGCATTTGGTGTTGCTCATTTGAATGTCATTTAACTATTTTTCTTTTCTCCAGTATTGTGATTTAATATAGTGAGGTAAAGTTCTTCTTGTCAAAAAAGTTATTAAAAGTCAACTTGCATGGTTTCTGACCTGTCATTTAAAAATTGATGTAACATGTTGTGCCACTTTATTAAAATAACACACACAATCATTTTCAATAGAACAATATATATTTCGCTAAACTTTCAATTTACTTGTGAGAATTTCTTTTAGATATTAATATATTTAGTATTGTGTTAAATGATGGAGAAACTGACATATATTACTTTTTAATTAAAAAGTAGTTTTGTATGTCACTTTTTAATAAAAATGTTACATTATTTTTATTAAAAAGTCTCCATTAACTCTATATTAGTATTTTTTTTTTTACTCTCAAAATACTTTTTACATGGTTTTTCATAAGGTCCTTGATTTTACGATTATTTCTGCGGCCTCTCTTTTTTCTAATAGGTAGGCCTTTAAGGGCAACCTATAGGACTAGCAGGCCTAGGACCTCGTGTTGTATATAGTCTAGGGCACTAGATGGGGCTAACCGTAGTATATCGGTCGGACCCTGCAGGGCTGAATCTAGGCAAGTTGAAAATAATTCATGGATTCGATTCGATCTGATAATTCGGTGGTATTTGATTGATAATTCCATTTTCGATTTGATACGT